GTACTTCCTCTTCGATGGTTTCACAGAATGTTCCCAACACAGAGGTATTCGCTGGTGTTACAGCATAAAGGCCACACCAACCGTCTCTTTCCACGCGGTATCAGGGAGGTATCCCTTGCGTGCGCCAGCACAGCAGAGCCAGGTGTGGTTGGGAGTAACTATGCTAAGCTTTTGGTGGCTTAATGGCTTGAGCTGATACCGCTGTGTAGTCAGAGACATGTTCACCACAGGTTACCCTCATCGGAGTGTATATGCCTACAGCCCCGCACGATGCCAGTTGAACCTTCGACAAGCTGTCATACCAGTGGTCTAGAAGGTTCATCGAGTCTGTGATAGCATTGACTCCGCAACCTGAGTCTTCTCTGCAGCCCTAATGGGTTTACACCAGCTCACTAAGTACCTATATCCCATCTCTATTCAAACGTCCACCAAAGCCTATCTCGTCGGATGCCAAAGAGACTACCCTCTTCGTATGTAGACGAGACCAAATGGGCAAGCAGGTCGCAATACAAGCTGCAGGGCAGGGGCAGTCAGCAATGAAACCCAAGTCACTAGGAGCATGGACCGGTGATGTCTGGTCGCATCACATTGCAGTTAACAACGAGGCCACATTATCGGCTTTTTTGACATCATTGCCCCTTCGCACCTAACAGGTTCAAGCAACAAGACTGTTCCACGCCGCAGGAAGCATCTGCTAAGGCATATAGCCTGACTGCAATCGATAGCTGGGCCCTTGCGGCTGTAGCCTTAGTCCTCGCTGCCACGAGTGGTTATGTAATTCTCACCATTTTGTCCCACAACAAAGCAGAAGCATGGGTGGTCTTACTTCCTTGTCCTATGCCCTCCCAAAGCTCAGCATTAGCATACACAAGCTGCTATTCGGACTCACCAGTTACTTATGCAGTGAGAAGGGTCATAGTAGCTTCTATCCAGTTCAATGTCTTTGACTCTGCCAGTGGAGAGCTTTCAAATAGAAGCCTGCAATACATGGTCAATGACTGATTTCCGTCCCCGACTTAGCCTCGTATCTAAAACCAAGTGTCTTGGTTTTTCTAACGACTCTGCTGTGTTCTACGGCTTCCCTGCATCTCCAGCGGTTGCTTATTCAAAATTTCTTTCTCGGAGCTTGCTTCTAGGCAACCCGTCACGGTGTAGTGGAACTAAGTCAATGCATGCGGATGGTCGTGCGCAATGCTAGCAGTGCTCCATCTGCAGAATGCAGCGTGCTGCATTGAAACCAAACCAGTGAACTTGTCAGGCCAACGTGTGTCCCAGACTTGAAAACCACTGTGTACAGCGTCTTTTCCAGCTTAAACAATCTCTCGACACTCTAAGCTACTTCTCGATATTCTCGTCCCACAACTAACTCCGCGTGAGACAGCATAACTATTTCAACGCTTAGTACTAGACAGACGCTGCGGTGTCCAGAAACGCAACGCCAATTAGGTCAGATGTGGCACCAATTTCTGGTATCGGTAAAAGCATGCTGAACACCAATATCGCCTTCCCATTAATTTACCGCGTTCTCGCTTAATTCTACAACACCAGGTCAGAGGCTACATGCTGGGTTGTATTGAGCACATCGTTTATACGCGCTTCATCGGGCCGAAAAGTGTGAGGTAGGAGTATAGAGAGTCATCCTAGGCGAATTCAGTTATACTACTGTATCAACGGTTCGAACGTCCCTCTGGTTAATAATGGTCAATAGGGCATGAGGTTCATCTATAATCACAGATCCTAACTACTGAGTTTAGAGTGTCGCAGCGGGTAATTTCAGTTTCTCGAGCTCGTTGCAGGATTGACATATGCCACCACCGAATAGATAATGAGATTTGCAGTAACTTTAGCAGACAACATAGGGGTGCACGTAGCTCATCGGGTTCTTTATCATTTCCTGGGCAATGAAAACAGATTGTTTAAGGGCAAGGATACGTTAGTTCTGTCATCAGACAGCATGGACTTTTGCGTTGGTCACGTCGGAGAAGCAGAATATGGAGACCAGTTAAAGCTCAGCAAGAAGCGCTCCTGCAATTAACCAACTGAGCATCAGCTTCAACTTTATGAATGCGCTTGATATCGTACACCTAGATTACTTTCCTGTTTGGCATCTTAGGAGGAGATGAAAGTCTGTCTCATCCGGTCAAAATCAGACTGGGTGCAGATTCAGTAAGCGAGTTATAATTACAAGAATGTGAGTATTTCCTGGTATACTTTAGCATGCTGAAGCTTTAGCTTGAAGGTTTTTGAAAGATGTTGGTAATCAACATGAGACGGTCGTTCATCAGACTGTTACTATATATATATACTTAGTGCAGAACCATGTTAAATGAATGATGATGAAGACGCATAGTACTATACGAAATTTGTAGAAAAGGCAATTTCAACTGTCACTAGATCAATAGATAGATATGTAAACTGGACAATAACTTATCAAGTGAGGTTAAACGTTTACAAGATCCAAATCTAAATATCCAATTTACCGGCGCCGATGATATCGATCCGATATGGCCGTAAGCGGTGAATCACGGCAGTATACGAAGGATCCATTGAGGCGTGCCGATAACCAATGTCGCGACAGCTCCTATTGAACTTACGCATGAGCCGTGTCTGTCGCGGCTAGTCATCCGCGAGAATGTCTCTTCTCGATAATGAAGAAGACGAACATTCTGGATACTTGCGAAACATTTCAGAGTCACCGTCGGTGATATCTTCGGTCGAACCCAAGCAACCATTCCCGCCGCTCCCCGCCGATGACCTTGCGACAACCACACTGAGCTCGCAAAACGAAGACTACATCGAAGAAGATGACCATGATCCAACCTCACCCTCCCACGCGGATATTGATGCAGAAGACGATGCCGACTTCCAATCACAATATTCCTTAGAGGACCAAGCTTTTTCGGATGCCTCCACGGACTCGGAGGAGCAGTCACCAGAAGATGGTCTTTCTATGCATCACCCATTTCGCCAGTCCACCAGCTCACTTCATGGGCCGAATGCGTTCGCTCCACCCTTCTACAATCGACCCCCTACGCCGCTTCCCCCGTCTCCATCATTGACCTCCCTTCTCCGACCGCCGTTCTCCACGACTACTTCTCGACCTACCACCCCTGACAGCTCGGACGTGGAAACACCGAATGATACAGAGGCTGCTGTTGCGAAATCTGCCCGTCGCGCAACGACTGTTCCAAGAGCCAGTCCGAAGGTGCCGACGTATGAATATTATGGATTCGTCCTATACCTTGCTTCCTCTTTAGCCTTCCGTAAGTTGTTGTCCAGCGCGCACTCTGCACAGACGTGCTAACACATTCGGACACGCAGTGATCTACATCCTTTGGTCCTACCTGCCGTCACCGTTTCTACACCAGCTTGGAATATACTATTACCCAAATCGGTGGTGGTCGTTAGCATTCCCATCATGGCTGGTCATGTCCATCATCTACATATACGTTGCCCTGGCGTCATATAACACGGGGTATCTGACGCTACCGATGAATAGCATGGAGAATATTGTGGATGAGGTGGCCAATGTGGCCGTCATTGATGGCAAGGGCAGGCGACGACCCGGTGGAGCTGCGAAGATGAGGCCTGGGGCGACATCGTATCAAATTATGGGGCCGCAGAACCGAAAGGTCAACTGGAAAGAGATATGGAGCGAAGGGACGGATGCTGTGCTGGATGTGCCCGTAGGTGGAGTCTGCGAGGTTCTCTATGGACAGGAGCGCGATGATGATGAGCTGTTTGAAGAAACGCCTAATATTTCATAGACCATAATCTTTAATTTCCAGATAGACTTTATCATGTGAATACATACAAACACTGGATCTGGATAATACCATGAATCGGGATCCGTTATCCCCTGATCGGCATCTTATCTCCACGTGATGTACTGGGTGTGCAAGAGAGAGAGAGAGATCTTGTAGTAAATGACACCAGGGGAATTGACTTCGTGACCAACAAGAAGCTTATTTCAAATGGGACCTGAGCGGAATGAAGGAAACGCAGATAACGAGAGCACGTTAACAAAAAATCTCCTGTAGACAACACAGCAGAGACACCAAAAGAAGGTTTCGGTATGTGGGCTGAATGAACATTTAGCCATAAGGCTCATGACAAGTGCCGTGCCACCCTGGCAGCATTCCGCCCGGCAATGGCTGGTTGAAACAAAAGAAAAAAGAAAAATAGAAAACCATAAAAATAGCGACACGTTGTGCTTACATGGCCCATCTAATACTTAGTTATCTGCCAGGCTAAAATTTAATTCGAGAGCCGTCATTCAATTCTGGTTGGTGGGTTAGACGGGATTAAGTGCCTGAGGTATTGAACTGGACGGAGTACTGTTGGATCTATCCATTATCTATTATCTAGCTGTCCAGCGCTACTACTACTTAACAGTGAGTAGCTGAAGTGGAGGTTGTCGTCAGGTACATGCGACAACCGGGACCTGATTAATTACTTTTCCCGCTCAATCTCAGATTTGCAACCTGTATGATACAAGGGTGAGAGAAAACCCATGCATGCCCTTCATCTCCCAAATGAAATGAAGTGAATGTAAAAGTGTCATGCACTGACCCTGACCGCATCTTAATAAGTGAAGAAGAGAGTAAAATTGGGGGTTGGGAAGGGAAGGCCAGCTCGCCCAGCGCTAAAAGCGGTTACGGCCGCGTGGGCGCCTACAGAGCCAACGAAAGCTCAGCGGCGGCGGTGGCTTTCCCCGACCTCAACTGCGAGGAGAGAACGCGCACCCAGTCACTCCGATCGTCTCGGGGGCTCAAGCTTGCATCGCTGACCGTCTCCTTTCCCCCTGCACGCTCCAATTCCGAGGCCCCAAAAATTAAACGGGTCCTTTACTGCCCTCTTGAAATTTATTCCCATTGTTTGTTTTTCCTCCCCTCGGCGTTGACACGGCCTGGAACTTCGCTTCCTGCCGTTGTCGCCCCGTTCCCTCCACCTGTGGGCTTACACGGAGACAAACACTCGGCTGCGATTCAGAAGATCACTACACCTCGCCCTTTTCCATTGGGAACAGCGCCTTCCTGATCCTCCCTCTGGCGACTTCGTGAGCTACGCTGCTCGGTCGCTACGAATTTCACTCCTTTCATCCTCTCCCATTGTCGATTTTGCATGGCTTGGCAGTCTCCCTCGGCCATGGCTGGGGGCGGAGGGTACGTCGGCCCCGGGGGTGATGGGTCTTCTAACGGCGGGCATCCCCAGGGGACGGAGTACACCCTGCAAGGTGGGTACCAAGTGATAGATCTCGACAGTCGTGGGGAGAGGCTAATTGCTTTTTCGGTTCGTTTCTAGGTGTGATGCGCTTTCTGCAGACGGAGTGGCACCGGCACGAGCGTGACCGCAATGCCTGGGAGATCGAACGCGCGGAGATGAAGTCTCGCATCGGAAAGCTGGAGGGTGATGTTCGTACGAGTAAACGTTTACATGAATCATTGGGGAAGCACGTCCGGTTGCTCGAGGCCGCCTTGAAGAAGGAGCGCGAGAAGGTCAAGAAGCTCAGCAACAATGAGAAGGTTGAGGACACTAGGGATCCGAAAGAGATTGCCAAGGAAAGCATCAACTCTCTGAAAGGTGAGTTTATTGTTGGTTTACGGAGTGGTGATATCGTATCGGTGTACTGATTGCTGTCTAGCCCAACGCCCCAAGCCTCATACAGGACCCAGCGAAGCCGACGTGAATCTTGAGAACGAACACGAATATCGCCAAGAGAATGAGCGGGAGAAGTCGCGGTTGTACCTTTCGAAGTGCTCTCAGGAAGTTGCCTATCATGTCATTCCTTCGTCACACCCTCCTCCGGAACTCGGCGAGCAGGATCTCCCAAATCACATCTACGGCAACCAACAGCTGTCTCAGCAGAGCCTGGAGGAGGCATATCTCCAGCAGCAACGCCAGAAACAGCACCAGCAGCAGCAAGTACAAGCGAACGATATTATGGCGCGAGAGGTGGCGCTTCAGAACCACCAACCCGTCATCACACACTACGCAGATAACGCGGCCATGTCTCGCGCACAGAATCAATTTGGTTTCCCACCTGCGACCAGGGAAGCGATGGAGAGACGACCCCTCGAGCCCCAAGAAACCCCGCTTACCGCGATTGATAATAGAAAGCAGTCTCTCGGCAACTCGTTGATGGATGAGCGGGCCGGTCAGGGGGACCAGGCATATGATGGATATGGCTCACAATCGGCGGCTAAGGATGCCAAGCAACAGCGAATGGAAGAGCAAGGTGATGATGCAGATGGCTGGAACTTCGACGAGCCGGCCGAACCAGCACCGCAGGCGGAACAGGTACCACCGCACCGGCCTGATGTGGATGCTTTCCCGAATGCAAACTTTGTCAGTTCCAAGTCTCCGCAGCGGTCTGGATCTCTCTCGCATCGGCGGAAAAGTTCCGGTGCCAGAAGGAAGAGTGATGGTGCCGTTGACCTTGCAGCGGGCCCCAAGCCAGATCCGACCTTCAAAGTTCGGTTCGCCCTCCGCGGCCATTTGGATGTCGTCCGTTCGGTGATTTTCACGGGCGGCGGAAGCCCTTCGGAGCCGGAAATTTGTACATGCAGTGATGATGGAACGATCAAACGATGGATTATACCCGCCACTTATGGCACCTTTGGCGCAAGCTCGAGTGACCTGGACATTACCAGCTATTTCACTCACCGTGGACATGTTGGGGCTGTGACTGCGCTGGCAGCATGCTCTCCGCAGAACTTTTCCAATGGAGGTCGTGCGCTAGGAGACGGCTGGGTTTTCTCAGGTGGACAAGATACCAGCGTCCGAGTGTGGGAACGTGGACGTGTTGACCCGAAGGCGACTCTTGATGGCCACACGGACGCCGTCTGGGGTCTGTGTGTTCTACCTGGAACCGCAGGCTCTGTGTTAGGCGAGTCCAGCAGCCATTACGGTGGCCCCGATCGTATCCTACTCGCATCCGGTGGTGCGGACGGCCGTATCATCATATGGGCTGTTAGTGCGCCCCCGCAGCTTTCTTCCCCTCAAGCAGGGTCTCGACGCGCTGGTGGTAGCCGGAGAGCCAACTCGATCTCTTCCGGCTCCAACTTCCCCTCGTCACCGCAGCCCAGCACGGCGACTACCACACCATTCCACTACAGTATGGTTCGTCAGATTGTTCGGACCGAGTCTCCCTCCCCAACGTGCATTAGCCCGTTGTCGCTTGCAGGTATCAACTTTGTTGTGTCCTACACCGACGCCTCCATCCTTGTGTATGATACAAGGACTGGCGAGGAAATTGTGGGCATGGCGAGTCTGGAGACATACGATGGTACGCCTTCGACGGGCGTTAACTCCGTGGTCGCCACTACAGTCGGATTTGATGGTTCGGCAGGACTTGACCCCAGTCGGACAATGGGCGAAGAAGAAGTCGTCCATGGTGCGACTGGCTCCAGTGGTGTCGAAGGCGTAATCATTAGTGGATACGAAGACCGCTACATTCGCTTCTTCGATGCTAACAGCGGTATGTTTCACCAAGCTTCCTTTAGCTATTTGGTATACTAATAATCTATGTTTAGGCCAATGCACATATACGATGTTGGCCCATCCATCGGCGATTGCCTCGCTTTCGCTATCCCCAGATGGACGTGAGCTAGTCTCTGCGGGTCATGACGCCAGCTTGCGGTTCTGGAACCTCGAGAAGCGGAGTTGCACTCAAGAAATCACGAGTCACCGGTTGATGCGTGGTGAAGGAGTGTGTGCCGCTGTCTGGAGCCGCGATGGCCGCTGGGTCGTCAGTGGAGGTGGTGACGGCGTTGTCAAGGTGTTCTCGAGATAGCGAGACCCCTTTGCTGATGTATGTTTCTTTCTTTCGACAGCTGATTCTTCCTTTTCCTACGGCATGTTCTTCGCACGCATGAGATGGATGAGCGCTTGGCCGATTCTCGAGCATTTGCAACGGTGTCAATCTACCTGGCATATGTTCCTTTCTACTCCTGTGGTTATAGTTTCTTTACTCTTCTACCCTTTTATTGACAATCAGCTGCTTTGCTCGTCCAGCCCTGCCTGATGGTACGAGCTTATGTTTTTCATACCTCTTTTCATTTCCTTAGCCCTGTCCTTGACTCACATACCCCACGCGGACTCGAAGGGGGGATATAATGTGTGCTTTTATACTCCGTGACGTTCAACCGCTGTCTGCCACACGTCTGCAAGGTGTCTTTATAACACGACATTTTCGATACCAGCGAATTTCTTGGCGTGTTTCCATATGAATAGGATTTGCGGACCGTGTGGTCGCCTTTCTTGAATGTCTTTATATCCCTGGTCCCCAGTACATGGGGGGTGCTGTGGATGAACGCTGTATGATGATCTCTTTGCCCTGTCCTTTAGAGCCTTTCGCACCAGCCTGTACATTGCCTGATTTCTGCCCCAATTATTCTCGAACCCGTCTGCGAACTAGGGTACCTAAGCCTGAAGTATAGATGTATTCAAAGTCGCTGAGCATTGGTCTACCCTTAACCTGTACAATATTCCAATCCACATATTCGACCCCAACGCAATTTCACACATAATAAACCACGCCACACATCCAAATCAATGTCAAAATAATTCCATGACAAGGTATCATATTACAATATACACATCTACCCACCATTAAGCACCCCACGCTCCCAACACATAAACCTAAATAGTAATATTAAATAACAACTCATTGCTTCTCCCAAGCCCCCTTAAACACCCCCCTCAACCTCCTCGCCTCCTCACTATCCTTCAACCTCTGCTCCAAGAACCCCTGCAAATCATCCCAAAACGCCTCCGTCCTCAACACCTCCTCCCCACTCGGCCCAACCGCCGCCTTAGGCACACCAGCAGCAGCAGCGGCGGCAGTAGCATTCCCATCTCCCTCACCACCCTCCACAACCTTCGCCCCTCCCATAATCATCACCCCAAACTCCACCTCCTTGCCTCCCGCCAACATCTCCGGCTCATCAGCCAACAACTCCGCAATCGTCTTCCCCGTCACCGGCTTCCGCTTATACAGAATCTTGATCTTCTCCAATGACACCTTTCCGTCCTGTGCGTCAACCACCCGTTCCTGAACTGCGTCTTTGAGATCCTGCACTGAGGTCGTGGTGATGGGTGCGTTGGGCAAGGTGAATTCGAATGCGGGGTTGCGTGCGCTCTTCACGTGTACGGTTATGGATTTCGAGGAGCCCGGGGCTTGCGTCCGGTGCACTTTCTTGGGCATTTCGGGGTGCGGGGCGCTGAGGCGGGGGAGGAGGTACTGTTTGTTTTTATTGTTAGATTTATTGGGTTATGGGGGTCCAAGTGGGAGGGTATAGGGAAGAGGGGAGGGAGGGGGGCAGGATGGGATGGACGTACAGGGACGCGAGGCCCGACTCGCTCTTCGTCCAGAACATAGTCTGCTCGGAGCTTGATGGGGCGGGAGTCGAGCGATGAGAGGAAGGATTTGATGAAGGCGACTTCGGACATTTTCGCGGTTTTCTTTAATATAGGTGGCTGAGGCAGGTTGTATGTCGAGCGAGAAAGTGTATAGGTGGAGTAGATGAGATAGAGACAGTCAATATGGATGCGGCATGTGGTAGTGCCATTACCCAATTGGGCGGTAGCTGAAGCCCATCCCTCTGACTGCATTGAGTGCCTCAGGCTACAATACTTACCGCCTTGCGGGACTCTTTCTGCCGGCGCCAACCGCCCGCAGAAAAAAAAGTAACGAAAGAAAAAAGTTTGGATTTCTCCGCTTCAGACTCCAGTTATCCAACTTTCACCACCCTTGTCCCATTCACATTTTCATTATGGGTGTCGGTCGTCGTATGAAGAAGCAGGGCCCTCCGGCCCCGCTGGATGAGTCTAAGATCACCATCTACAAGAAGCGCAAGGCTGGTGAGCCCGAGTCGAAGCCCGAGACGGGAAAGAAGCGGAGAAGATCTGATGCCGATGAGGAGAAGGTCGCGAAGCCCGCCGTCAAGAAGAAGGCCAATGGCGCTGTTAATGGCAAGGCGACCAAGGCTGAGGCTAAGCCTAAGGCTGAATCCAAGCCCAAGGCCAAGGCCGTCGAGAAGAAGCCGCAGTTCATGGACTCAGACGATGAGGACGACGATGAGGAAATGTCTGGTATTGAGGAAATGGATGCCGATGAGTTCGACGATCTGGACGGTATCAGCGATGGCTCGATGGATAGCCAGGAGGAGGACAACGACTCGTTCGTCGATTCCGACGATGATGACCACCCTCGCGAAACCATGTTCTCCGACGACGAAGACCTTTCCGACGCTGAGGAGAAGCTGACCGCCGCCAACATCGAGGGTTTGTCGCGCAAGCTGGACCTGCAGAGACAGGAAGAGGAGGAGGAGGCCGAGCGCGAAATGAAGGAATCCGCCATGCAGACCAACATCGCCGGTGACCGTCCCGATGTCTTCGGCGACGCCGAGGGCACCCAGCCCGGCCTGGCTCCCGATCTCCAGCTGCTCCGTACCAGAATCACCGACACCATCCGTATCCTCGGTGATCTGAAGACCCTCGGTGCCCCCGGCAAGTCTCGTACCGATTACACCCAGCTGCTCATCGCCGACATCTGCACCTACTACGGCTACACCCCCTACCTCGCCGAGAAGCTCTTCAACCTCTTCACCCCCATGGAAGCCTTCGCCTTCTTCGAAGCTAACGAAACCCCCCGTCCCGTCGTCATCCGTACAAACACCCTCCGCACCAACCGTCGTTCCCTGGCCCAGGCACTCATCAACCGTGGTGTCGTGCTCGAGCCCGTTGGCAAGTGGTCCAAGGTCGGTCTCCAGGTCTTCGAATCCGCCGTTCCCCTCGGTGCCACCCCCGAATACCTGGCCGGTCACTACATCATCCAAGCCGCCTCTTCATTCCTCCCCGTCATGGCCCTCGCCCCGCAACCCAACGAGCGTGTTCTCGATATGGCCTCCGCCCCCGGTGGTAAGACCACCTACATCTCCGCCCTCATGCGCAACACCGGCTGCGTCATCGCCAACGATGCCAGCAAGCCCCGTGCCAAGGGTCTGATCGGTAACATCCACCGTCTGGGCTGCAAGAACACCATCGTGACCAACATGGATGCCCGCACCGCCTTCCCCAAGGCCATGGGCGGGTTTGACCGTGTCCTTCTCGATGCCCCCTGCACCGGTACCGGTGTCATTTCCAAGGACCCGGGCGTCAAGACCTCCAAGAACGAGCGCGACTTCCTCGCCATTCCCCACATGCAGCGCCAGCTTCTCCTGGCCGCCATCGACTCCGTCGACCACGCCTCCAAGACCGGCGGCTACATCGTCTACTCCACCTGCAGTGTCACCGTCGAAGAGAACGAAGCTGTCGTGCAGTACGTCCTGCGCAAGCGTCCCAACGTCAAGCTCGTCGACACCGGCCTCGGCGACTTCGGCAGCCCCGGTATGACCAGCTACATGGGCAAGCACTTCGACCCCAAGATGACCCTCACGAGACGCTACTTCCCCCACCGCGAGAACGTCGACGGTTTCTTCGTCTGCAAGCTCAAGAAGACCGCCGCCTCCCCTACCCCCAAGCCTGGCGATGCCGCTGCCGCTGCCGCTACCTCTACCGATGGCACCTCCGCCAAGAAGTCCAAGACCCCCTCCGTCGCCTCCACCACCACCGATGACGACGAACCCATCGACAAGACCCCCATCACCGACGAAGACGGTATGGTCATCGAAACCGAAGGCGGCAGCTTCGGTCCCTTTGAAGAGGACGAGGAAGACGCTGCCCGTATCGCCCGCGCCGAGCGCAACCGTCTCCGCCGTAAGGGTCTGAACCCTAAGGCTGTTCTGAACAAGCCCGCCAAGTCCAAGTCCAAGGACGAGTCCTCCGACTCTCCCGCTGCCGAGAAGAAGACCGAGGAAAAGAAGGAGAAGGAGACCCCGAAGAAGGAATCAAAGGAAGAGAAGCCCAAGCCCAAGTCCAAGACTGAGTCCCCCAAGCCCGCCAAAACCAAGACACACACAGAACCCGTCACAACAAAGAAGCAGCAACAAAAACCCACCACCACCACCTCTGCACAAGAACCCACAGAGAAGAAGACGAAGAAGACCGCCAAGAAGACGAGCAAGAAATGAATGAGTAACCAAATAAGTAACCCATTTTCTGCTACCTTGATTGATTCTTACTTCCCCTTCTTGTAATCTAACTCATGAGGTGACTGTTGTTGTTGATGTTCATGGTTTGACATAAAAAGCATTCATTTATTTGTCTTGTTATTGTCTTGTCTTGTTGGTCTGTACGGGCGGCGCATGCATATGTTTGTCTATATTTCTCTTTTCTTTTTTTTTTTGGTATGATGATGATGATGGTGGTAGATAGATAAATAGCTTCGTTCTTCTACTTGGGCTGGGTGAGTGAGTTGAGTCGAGTCGAGTCAATAGATACCATTATTTTCTTCTTTTATTTTGTTCATTCATGGTTGTATAGTTAGGTATTGTAGATGGGTGATTATGTATAACTGGCACGATGACTGAGTTTATTTATAGTTGCTTGAACGATGCCCTAGTAGTTGAGCTATTGCTGTGAAAATGCTACAGTGTCTACAATAGTATTTATTTACTGTGGGAATGTAACATGTAACTGCAAGTTCTTGATTGCTTAACTTCATGAAACTGAAACGAATAGTATGATCAAGTTTAAACTCCAAATCTGCTGACAATATCGTGTCTAATATCAACCAAACCAATCACTCCGGTCTTTGCAACATCCTGGGTATGATGAATTCTTCAATGCAATATTAATTGTAACCAAATGCAGCGGGGACGCATATCTCTATTTCCCCATTTGCCCTGCAACAAAGTTGGGATGAGGGCAGGCAGACGGGCTCACTATGTGCGGTAGATCTTAACCACACTGATGATGTTCTTCCGGCAAATGGGACAGAGATCGACCTGGCGAGCGCAGGTCACGCAGGCACAAACATGCCCACAGTCATAGAACAAGGCGTCTTGCTCCTCTCCGTAACAGATCTGACACAGATCCATTTCT